GTGTTTTTTTTACTTATTAAATTTCAAACTAACAAATCTACTACTGACACACTTTATAAGACAATAAGATTATTAATTTCCATTAAAAATATGTATATAGTTAACAAATATTAGTGGAATTATTAGTCAAAAACATTTTTGTCAGTGAAACTATTTTAGATTTACATTTAAATGAGTAGGTATACATTATGTCATAATTGTAATGTAGGGTGTGGTAATTTGCACTAGTCTGGGTCAACTGGTGCTTATCGCTTGATATGTAAAAGTATCTATATAGTTTTGAGTGGTAATATTTTTATTTATTATTTTCAAATTAAAACAGTATACTTATTGGTTAAAGCATAAAATTAAATTAAATAAACAATATTAAAATAAAAAATATGTCATATTATAGAAAATGTTAATAAAATTAGCTAGGAATGCGAGCTCTTCTATAAGACAGAACAATCTTCATTGGGGATTTGAACTAACGTAATCGTAATCGAATCTAAATAAGCATAACCGAATTCCAAAACAATGACCTAAAAGTATTTCTTACCTTCAAATAAATGTAATAAGTAATGCCTCTCGGCACAGTAGACACACAATATAGTCTACACTCACAAAATATCACTTCAGTTTTTAGGACTAACTATAAAATTAGTACCCAGGTCAAGCAGCACAACTTATACTGTTTTTTTAACCGGCTTTTACGTAAAACTCACAATCCAATCTTCACTTCATTCGAACGAAACTTAATAATAATCGCTATTTATATACGAATCTACTAAATATCATCAGCGACTACGAGTACGAACACGGCGTCCAAGGCAAGGCAAAAGATCGCCGCGAAAGCATCACCTTACCACCCATGTCATAGACTAAATATATGACACACAGAGGTGACACCTGATTAATTTATTTGACAATGCTAAATCTATCCTGTTTAAAAAATAACTATAAAACATTAAAACTTTAATACTATTGTTAGAAAATCATTATATGATGATTAGGAAAGTAACTAATTAAAAGAAGACTTCTTGAGGAGAATTAACTATAACTCTCTAGAGTAATAATTCACAGTAGGTTCTCTCTGAAGTAATATCTTTAAAATCATTTGATGTTATTGAGGATGTTTTGTAATGATTTTCTTGAATTAAATGTAATGTTGTAGACATCTGGTTTTGTTCATAAAGTACTATTAATGACAATAACTGCTTTTTTATTCCTTTTTAGGAACAATACATCATCATCAATAAAAAATAAATTATATATCATAAAGTATAACTTCGTGTAAGTTAAATAACAACAGCTATATTTATCTATACAATTATGATAAACATGCCTATCTAATTCTTCTGTTTCATAAAATTACTCTTTGCATTGAGTGATGTCATACACCGGCATAGACCGAATGGAGGAGGCCGACAGACCACAATCAGTTTGTTGTCTTTGAATATTTCGGATACTCTGACTAAATGAAAATACTTATGTACGAAAGTGTAAAAGTATTAATGAATGTAGCATTAGTCTTGCGTTCATTAATCAAATAATTTTATTAAATTTAGGTTTATTATTTAAGACTAACATTCTTTATAAATTTCATTTAGTTTGTGATAATATTTATTAAAAATGCTTATTGTAATTAACTCCTTGTTATCATAAATAATAATATCGTCGTTACATATAACAATCTCACGAATTTCTATTTAACGCGCTTTTATTAGCTTCACTTGTAAATAACTAATGAACTAAATATTTTATTTTATTTTGGAGTTAGGTAGTTACTTTAGAGTGAGCCCACTTCTGATTCTCATATTGATCTGATACTTATAAATTATATGTAAAATTTGGCTAAAAATAACACAATAATTTCATAAAATTGATTTCATCAGATGAGGGCAGAGGGAGTCAAGATGTAGATAATGGAACTCTATAGTTGCTTTACCACCAATTGGGCTCTCTCCATTAATCTGATCTTATTTATTCATTTGTAAAAGCAATTTTATATTAAATAACAGCCCAGAGGTAACGCGCTCGCTTGGGAAACCGAGTGAAGCGAGTTCAAATCCCGGGTCTCACACCTCTGATATTTTCATGTGCGAATCATTCCTAACATGATTACCACTCTTGTCTTAATGGTAAAGGAAAACATCGTGAGGAAACCTGCATGTCTGAGAGAACTTAGTAAGTTTTCAAAAGACATGTGAAGTCCGCCAACCCGCACTTGGCCAGCGTGCTGGACTATGGCCTGATCCTCCTCTTATTGAAGGGAGGCCCGTGCCCTGCAGTGGGACTTTAAAAAGGGCTGAATACAACGAGGTTCTTAAGTTTCATTTTACGAACTTTATTTATTGATGTCAATAATATGTGTTAGACGTAATATTTATTTAATACTAATGTTAATGACGGTAACTATGGACGTTCCATTAGTCTAAGGATAAAAAGTAGGCCTTATAAATTGGAGATCAATATCAAAAGATAATATTATACTTTTAATATTGTTAGTATATAGACGTAAAGTTTAAAACATCATTAATAGGTATATAAAAAAATTACAATCATTTTATTCTTTCAGAGATGTTCTTCTCATTCTAAGTTAAATTGTTATAACTGCGCAGTGGCTCTAAACCTTTTCTTGAAATTCAGAACTTTTTTCTAGTTCGCTTAAATAACGTTAGGTGGTCTTAGAATCGTCATTGTAATGAAAACATATCTATTTTTATTATTACTATAAATAGCAGAGACTATATTCTATTGATAACGTACATGATACACATATATATTATCTCTACGGTTATTACAATATTATAACGCTATCACAAATAGTATCACAAGTAATTTCTATTATTTTGTCTTTGATATATAAAATTAGGTAACAGATGGCGCTGAAATGACGCTATGAATTTAGGAGGCAAGAAGCAAAAAAGTTAAGTAGTTAATTTAGTATTAAATTTTAGACGTTTAACATAAATAAGATATTATAGATTAAAATAAATGTTATATACTTATCCTTATTTCTATTCTATAATAATTAATAAGTCAAGTATTGAAAAATTGTTAGCGGGCTAAAATTCAACATGTGCTCTATAAATTACACACTGAGCATTTGAAACTTAATTTAATTTACAACTATATAATAAGTACTTTCAAAGTTTCAATTATTTAGTAATACAAGAATAGCAGTCTGCGCTGGTTTTATTTATTTAACTCCCAAATCACATTCTTTCTCACCCAAACTTTGCTACTAAAACTAGTCAAGTCGAATCTCAAGTAAAGACTATAATATATTTCTCCATGATGTAATCTATATATATTTTATAAATACATATATCTATTTACAGGCTACAAGCCTCGTAGCTTACAAGGGAAGTAAGTGGTGCTGTGTGTTAATGTCTCAACATATTTACTTATTTTATTACTATTTATCTATTTTTACCACATTTTTTATTTCTTCGACACCTGTTCAGTGGTTTAAGCTTAAAAAAGAAAAAAATATGTCTGTTAAACAGAGTTACTTTTACATTTTTATTACTGATGTGGAAGTATAGATTATTATGAATGGATTGAGTGAAGGTGTTAATAAGATATTGTTGTTTTATTTTACTTTTATTTATTATAAAAGTTAAAAAAGTACATAGTATCTTTTAATAATTTATATTATCACATAAACTCGATAAATAATCTTAAATATTTTTAAACATAACTACTCATGTCGAGGAAGTGCTAGTGTATAACTTAATATATTGCATTTAATATTTTTTTATTATAACAAATTAAAAAATATATACCTACCCCAATTCCCTTATATTATTTATAAATTATGTTCCTTATAGAATACAAAAGCACCTCCTCAATTTATGTATTTTACTAAAGCTTTGTTTAAAAGTAGCCTATAAATATAAAACCTAATTTTTTATAATTTAATCATATAAAAGTCATCATTCCCTCTTTAACAATATGATTCAAGGCTCATTATAAAATGTTATACAAAGAATATTTAAAAAAAACTGATGTAATTTTTAACCGACTTCCAAAAAGGGTGAGATTCTATGTTCATCTCTATCTAATTTTTTTATATTTTTGTCCAAAATAGAAGAAGAAACTACATATATGATTGTTTGTAAAATATGCATACATTTAAAGATTACAATTATAACATATGCTTTGTTTATATCAATTATTCATTATGATTTTTTATAATTATATTTTGCCGTCAATCACCTTACTGCTATTTCATACTGTACTTGTGTACTTATATTCAGTCAAGTCCACTAACAGTATTATTTTAATACACTATCGTGATAATTGTGCTTTTCATTTAAACGTACAATAATTTAAATATATATTGATAATTTTAAAATCAACTAATATTTAAAATAACGTGGCAGTGTTTTTTTCTGTATATACTAAATAAGTCTATACTTGATGGTGACAGATAATAATATAATACTATCAACTTAACAATTTAAAGTTTACACAACTGAGTGGGACGGTGAGTTGAGTCAACCAGTGACAATAAATGTATGCAGGGCTCGGAAACCCGCTCAATTTTTAAACCGGTTTTGGTCATTGACTCCAAACCGAAAGGTTTTTCAGTTAAAGGTTTCGATTACGTTCTTTAACCGGTTAAATCCCAGAGCACGGTATTTGACAAATTTAGGTTCCATTATCAAAATGAATCGGTCAAAATTTTTGTGCGTTTACATTCGGTGAATGCCATGAGCAAATGCAATGATTTGCTAATGGGAGTGTATTAGTAAAAGGATACATAATTACGTTTTTAACATGTGAATGAATTAAGCTGTTTTTTTCGGTATCAAAACCGAAATACATTTCTCTAAGAATAACGTTAGTCATTATTATTTCGGTTAACTAAACCGATCGTTTTCATTAACCGGTTAAAGAACGAGCGACGAATTAACCATTACATTACTGAAATAAATCGGTTTTTTTAAAGCAGCTCCTAACTCTGAATGTATAATTTAAATCCATATAAATAAATACAAGTATATAATTCAAAAAGCTCTTGGGAATGGCCAGTTGTTACTAGAAGTAGAATGATGATCTAGATATGGGCTGTCTGTAAGTAGCAGCTTACTACCACTAAGTCCTGAACTACTGCTTCCGCTGGAAGAGAACATGCTTTTACTTCCAGTATAGAGAGAGAGGGTTGTATGCATCTGTTCTCGAGCCATTCGCCGTCTCGCTCGCACCAACGACGCAAACGCGATAGCTATGGCGCATAGGAATATGGTACCTAATATGCAGAACGCAAGAGCCATTTTGCCGGGAGACAAGCAAATTGTTTTGTCTCCAGGTGAGAAATGTCGTACGAATTCATCTTCCCCCACTGCTCTTCTTGAACCTGTGAAGTATAAAAATAGTTTTTTTTTAAATACAACACTATGTATTTTGGTGATTAAAGAGCCTTTTTTTTAATTTTGTTAAATTAATAAGGGTTGCAATTTAAATGAGACGTTTTTTTTTCGCGGTTTTATTTGTTTTCTGATGTTCCCATTGGTTTACAAGAAAAATGGATTCGATGAAATAAGATTTTATAAATCACAAGTGTCAAAAATAAAACTGCGATGAATAAAATATATAACAAAAATTTAATATATTTTAAATGTCGAATGCTAAATTAAAAAAAACAATACCTCTAATCGAAGCTTCATCCTCCAACTCAATATTAGGCGCGAGCACTTCAATACTGTTGTACACTTCGAGTCTGTCTATCACCAGCCCTTTAGCCTCTTTATCCAACCTGGCTTTTCTTACTAGACCATCTTTAGTCTGCTGTGGTTTTTGTAAAGATTTGCAATCTACTTGAGGACACACTCCTTTACATAGTTCTATTCCACACGACAAATGCAATTTGGCTCTGTCAGGGAATTTGAATGCCGCAAAAGTTGTTATTGCGTGTTGATATGTCATCATATTTTTGAAAAAATATTCGGGATCTGTTTTGTCGAATTGTTCATTATGTTGGTCGTCAGATTTTGGTTTTAATAGTTCGATGTTTTGTTGTTTATGTCGGTGTACAGTCGGCGTGTCGAATATAGTCTCGTCTATGGGACAGCCGGCTTCGTCTAACAGTTTTTGGGACGCTTCCCCCAAACCGTCGTGAGCTACACAGTTTGTTACGCGAAGACCAACTCCAACTGGAAAGTAAAAAAATGTTTGTCATTAAAATCAATAAAACGTTAAAAACACATGAGTTTACTTCGTAGTTACTATTTCCATTTGATTACATAAAACATTAAAAGTTAAAAATTTAAAAGAAAAATGCATTTAGCACGGATGCCCTAGTACTGTTTTAGTTGGGCCTAATTGGACTATTTTTCGGACTGCTTTCTTTGGTGTTAATGATGAAAGATTATAACTATTCGAAAGCACTAAAATGTTTGGAATAAAGCAAAATGTAAAAACAAAACGTCGTGCCTATAACTGTTGGTACCCAAGTTACCTATCTTGTTTACAAACAACTCATAACATAAAGTACTCAATGCATAAAGCGCCATCTATGAATACGCAGTACAAACTTAACAGCTAACTAATAACTGATTTTTCAATCATTACTAGAATTGTAATAGAATAATATACATTTTTAACATTGTTGTTTTTACAAAAAAACATAATAATACGATAGGTATATTGACATTTATTCGAAATTATTTTTCTTTCTTTCTGGTAAGACTATGTAATAAATAGCATCTGTATAAATATTTTGTACAAAATGACTGAAGTATGATGGTTTTGTTAAAAAATATTGTTTTTGATTTACATGGATAACGCCATTAAAAATTCGATAACTAAAATCCGGGACTAATACCAAGGAAGTCCGGGTATGCAGCCGTACAATTGCCAAAAGTATAATAATACAAAAAAAATAAATAAAAAATTGAGTTACCAGGCAGTGTGCACTGTATGAGCAACCGCGTCGGCTGCCCCACCTCGACGGTAGCAGGTTCAGTGCCGGCGGCGGCCGGCGCCAACTCCATCCACGCTCTCGCGGCCTCTAGTAAGTGCTGTCTTTGTTCCATTTCCACTGATTTCTCGAAACCATGGCGATTACGGCCTGTCCTAAAGTGGGTTATATAAACAAAATTAATATGTAAGATTAATATCTATATATCGGACTATTGTTATAATTATTATGAAAATTAGTATGTTTGTGTCTCTGTTACAAAAAGTAACAGTAGCACGCAGAAACGGCTGGGCGAATTTGGATGAAACTTAGTACTCGAATAAACTACTAAGCCCTGGAGTAACACATAAGGCTTTTGTCAGGAGACTAAGTCGCTAGTATGTATGTATCTATGTACAATGTACATAAAAACAAAAATGTTCAAATTCTTAGTGTTTTATTTTATCAACAAACTGGGTTGGCGCATTTTTCACCCAAAGAATCGGCATTGCCGCTATTCCACGCGGACATGACTTGTACAGTAATAAATAAGTGTAATTTTGTTTTGTTTATTTAATTAATCAATCTGTAATTTTATTTATTGTAAATAAATTATACAAACTTTGTTGTGGTAACTTGTGAGTTAAAAATAACATTAAAACACATATTTTTCACCATCATTGATGAAATTATAGTGTGAACATGAAACATGATTAATTAGACAGAGTAAAATCACTTAAGATATAGGTAGCTATATGTTATGAACGTTCAAAGTTTATCGGATATATTAATTCACTTTAACATTGAATGTAAAGAATAATTACAAATAGTTTCTAGATAGTTATTACCTCATCCTTTTCCCGTCTTGGCCGGTTATTTCTCGTAGTTTAGATTTAATGACGCCCTCTAGCGCGGAACTGTTTATGCGCACTGCACGCGGTTGCAATTTGCACCTGTTCAAAGTTAATATTAGGTGTATTGAAAATTTATTCAACTACATATGAAGTACAGAAGGAGATATTTAAAACATATCGAGATTAATATTTAGACAGGATTTTTATTTAAAGCTTAAAATTCCCATAAATATTATAAATGCGAAAGTTGGGACGGATGTTTGTTATTCAACCACGCCAGAACGGCTGAACGGATCTAGATTAAATTTGGCACAGAGATTGATTGTAGTCTGGAATAGCAAATAGGTTACTTTTTTTCCTAAAAAATGAACGATTCTCGTGGGATATTTTCGGTTTTTGTTTGTCACCAGGGATGAGTGCTAAATAATAAAATGTAACTAACCAATAGGTCTTCTGATTTAGTAAACATAAAAGGTCTGTAGGCTAGTATAACAGGAATAATTTCTGAAATCTAAGTGTCAATATTTGTCTTTGTATAGAACTTATGTTTTCCAAGGCCATATAAAATGAAATAACTGGGGTGGAAAAGTCAGTATATTTGAAGATTGATGGGGTTAGTGAGGTGCGTTTATTGAGGATTCGACCTTTCCACGCCTTACATTGAGTAATAGCAAATGTCAAGGTTTGCTAAATAGAGCATTGCTTTATCACTCAATTTTAACTATGATATTTAATGATATTAAATATGATATTTATTTATCGCAAAAATATATATTCGTGATACTAACGATCAGAAGGAAATGTTTATTGGCCGTACAAAAAATTGTCATCTTGCTTTAATTCCATGTGTATTGTGTTTTGACTTACTGCAAGGGAAGTCTAGAGAATGACGATGAGCGATATACAAGAAAAACACCTTTTTTTAGTGATTATGGAGCCATACGACAATAGTTCCATTTTAATTTTTGAATGCTTTATATAATTTATATTTATAGTAATGCCATTATAACCTTACCTGACAATCAATTCCTGATCTGAAGACTGTTGCAGTTGTCTGTCCATTTGGACGATAAGTTCCACTGTGTAGTATAAGTCCTCGTTGTCGTCGGGTTCCTCTACGGTAGTGTTGAGAGTGGATGTTCTCACGCCGCAAGCGTTTGATGGCAATTGAAGAGATACATTAGTTAGCATTTGACCTATAATGACATCATTAAAATATTATTATTATTAATACATTTAAGAGAATATTTATAATATAAATATAATCTATACTAATAATAAAAAGAGGTAAAGTTTGTGAGGTTGTGAGTTTGTGACGTTGTAGGGGGTAATCTCTGGATCTAGTGAACCGATTTAGATGAAATTTGGTAAGAAGATAGTTTGAGACCCTGGGAAGGACATAGGACTTTTTTACCCCGGAAATCACTCCTTAAGGGAGTGAAAATGGAGATGAAAGTTAGTATTGGGGAACAAGATAGGGCAAACCCGAGCGAAGCAAGGATGAGTCGCTAGTAAATGTATAAGTAGGAATTAGATTTTGCTTGCGGCTCCGCTCTTAAGTGTAATTGCGTGATGTTATTTAGCCTTAGCATAAATACCTAAATAACTATGTTATCAAATACAAAAAAAACCTATCAAATCCGACTGGTAGTTCCAAAGAAATAAAAAATTGCGGTCAAACAAAACACAATCTATCTTTTTAACTTTATAATTTGGGTACCTTAGGAGATAAAGTGCTAGCAATAATACTTTATTAGATTTACGCCAATATGTAAAATTTTAAATAAATCTATCTTTTATTCATTATCAGGGGATTCCCACGGTGACCTGTGACATGTGATGGTGATTGCTGTGAAGCATTTGAAACGTCGCGTCAATGACAAATAATATGTACTTATAAATAGAACAAACAAACGCTCCGCTATAAAACTTATTTTAATTATACATGAAAAAACATAAAACTATTCTGTTAGGTACATGCTTATGTAATGTTTACCTACTACATTCATACCTTGGACACGGCATTCTCTAGAAAAATCTTTGCTAAATATCAGTCCTTTGAACGGCTTCTCCATCTCAAGCTGTATGCTGAAGGAGTTTTTGTCGCAGGACGTCTTTACGTCCTTCACTTGATTTGGTCGAGCATGGATACTCGAAGCAGCCGCAATAAAAAGAAGTATAGTCCGCCACATTTCGGCACACCCTGTAAATAGTAAAAATTATTTATTTTAAAATGGTATAGTCATAAAAATACACTATGCTACGGCTACACAACGTATGGTACGTCCATACGTACGTATACCTAAAGGTTTTTACTCACTTTACCTCAAAGCTATAGTGGAGTTTAATATAGGAACCACTTCTAAAGGTTCGAGTACCCCGCTTTGAGAAACCGTATACTGTAGTATACTTAATACTTACAAATGATATTATTGGCACCATGTGCAAATCTATACGAATTATATTTTTTTTTAATTTTTATATCTACAATTTTTAACTGATGTATACAAACATTTCCTCAACTAATGCCATCAGTTTTAAAGGATTTATTAGTGAAGTAGAAGTGTTCTCAATTCTTAGCTGTTTTAGGGTGGTGAAGTTTAAATAATATAGGTACCTATTGTTTAAATAAAAATACCAACTGTACTCTTCATACTAGAGTAAAAACAAGCAACATTTATGTTATAAATTCATTGAATTAAAATTGTTCACAACAATTACAGCAGGAATGAATATTAGAAATATAAAATGACTGGATAGTATTTGCGGTTAGATTAGCGGTCAAAGCAACGGAAATGAAAGCAATTCTAAACAATTTTCTAGACTAGATTAAAGAATTGATTGTCGCAATCTTGGACCTCTTAAAAATAGCTATAATTCCTTAACAGGTGATTTTCTTTTTCCTTTTAAAGATTACAAATCATTAAGCACAGTAAGTAGCAAGTACTATCTTGTTAAATGCTAGCTTCTTTACGTTACTTTACGTGTATAGTGAACAATCAGAAAAACTTTACTAACAATAGATTGATGAGATTTGGCTAGAGCTTATTTTAAATTCAGATATACGTAATAGTCCCTTTTAAATTTCAGGTAGTTATGAAAATTTACTTAGGGTCACCATTTAAAAAAAAAAAATAGTATTTCTCGCTGACCTTTATTAGATAGCATTTGTTTTATATGTAACTCAATAAGTCATCAATGGATTATAACAAGTTTAAAGTTATCCAGTTTTACACTTAGATGTGCCGTTCTTATACATTCTACTGTCCATCAGTTGATTAATACATTAAATGCGCCATATATAGTAATGCAAACCTAATGTAGAGAAATCAAGTTGCACAGCTTGCACTTATTTGCTTTTCTTTAATACCTACTGGATAATCTAGATATGATATAACATTGATAACAATTTAAAAAAGCATTACTTGTTATTCTACCTTAACTACGAATAATTAATGTATCTATGAATTAAATTTACAGACTTACTATATCCACACAATCTACCTATATGTACAACAAAAACAACTGTGTTGAAAAATTGAAAGTGTTTTTTCCGCGTAGCACTTAAGTGGTATTTTTTCGAGAAAAAAAGATTTTCAAAAATTGGGGTTAAAACTAAAGCTTTCTATAAATATATTTAACTTTTAAGTTATTCAACTATTTATATAAATTGCTTCGATTGATTTCGCCTCTAGAAAAACAAAAACATCTGTATTCCATGGGAACCGTACACTTTTTCGGGATAAAAAGCCTATATGGTATGCCAGCCTATAGGTAATTTATCTCTGTGTCTATCCAGATCCGTTCAGCCGTTCTGGCGTGATTGAGTAACAAACATCCATCTAAACATACAAACATCCAAATATCTAATCTTTCACATTTTTAACATTAGTATGGATTACAATATCGTATTGCATTGCATGTTAAAGGATTGTGACGAAAATTAAGTACATACGGTAATTAAGTAAGTTATGATTTATGTAATTTAAATTGTGCCACTAACTGCACTAATCGAACTGGGCTATCTGAGTTGTTAGCAAAGAACGGAAGTTTAGCAAGTAGCGGTACCCAGTCTTTGAGTTCAACCATAACTTTCCATTGTTCTTAAACGTTTGAAGTAGCCCTAAATAAAGTGTAAAAATATAGTATCTAGTATCATCAATCTGATTATAATAGCTTAATTCACTGGTCGTATAACGTACCATTAAAATTAATTTGTTTCACATAGTTACGTGTGATTTGTTATGTATGCGAGCATCATTTCAGCACAAATTCTTTTTATTTTTAACCCCCGACGCAAAAAGAGGGGTGTTAGAAGTTTGACGTCGATGTCTGTCTGTGTGTGTGTGTGTCTGTCTGTGGCATTGTAGCTCTCAAACGGATGGACCAATTTCGATGCGGTATTTTCATTTGAAAGCCAGTTTCCTTGCGGTGGTTCTTAGCTATGTTTGGTTAATATCGGTCCAGCAGTGTAAGAGTATCAGCTCTTTTCTACAACGATGTAAGGCATTTTGGCGTATGATTACTCGATTAAGTGCTTCACGCGTGCCAGTGTAATCGTTAAATGACAATTAATTTGCGTGGTGGTTTTTTAAATTTTTAATTTATAATTATTATACCTACTCTTTCTATTCTATCGACGTATTTCAATCATCGTCTTATTACTTCAATGAATAACTATAATGAAGGCAGGTAATTAATAATCATATTAGTTATTACTAATATATATTATGTAGTTCAACTTTCATTTCTGATCCAACGACGTGGGACCTGGGCCTTAACCTGGGATAAGGGATATATTGTTCTAAGTTATATTTCAATTCATGCATGTGTATATTTTTATAGTATGTATGTATTTTTCGCATAATATAAAAAAAGGTAATTGCGTTGCGAATTTTAATCAATAACGACCAGTTTTGTAAATAAAAATTCAAACGACAGTAAGCTAACGAAATTCTGTAAGTAGGTATATCTATTAACTTCTGTCCTTCCTCATACAGGAATCCCTTAGTCTGTGCTCTGTATCCCAAGATACTCGGGGATTTTAATGATTGACTCTTGGATTAAAATACATTAAGTAGTTTTCGACTGATACCAGAATATTCATTAAACATTATTCATAAAACTTTTTGCCGATGCTCTATTCTACGACTTGTTTTATTATTAAGATGGACTTCACAGTATATAAAAGCCTAATATTATTTAAACTATCCATATGTATGTTGTTAGGTAATTTAAACTTTGTTTCACAAATATGTGCATTAGCTTCAATTGCGTAATTTATCGTAATTTAAACCGTAATTAAAACTGTGAATCTTCTGTAGGTACAATGTGCGTGTGAACTGCGAATAGACCACCAAGAAGTTTTTACACAGTATTATTTCCTCTACAAGATAGCACTTTAAGCCACTAGAAATAGGTATAATTGAATTGAACGTTTCAGTGAACACCAAAATTATAATAATTAGTATTATTTTTCTAAGTCTATTATAACGTGTATTTGTGTGGTATTTCTAAGAACTTCGCAATATATATTTTAAATTTATACATTAAATATTCTGAGCCTTAGTATCTCATAGTAATTTTGAATGTTTCAAGTTCACAATGCATAAGTTATAGAATAATAAATATCACTTAGGTTAGTGGTTTTAAATTTAATTTTAAATTAAAATTCTACGCACTACATTAAGTACCTCCTTATAAAAGTTAATTATTATTCATTGCAACGTAAATTAATAAAATTATATAAGCCAAGGATATATACATAAATCTTTCCTCATTATAGATCATTAAATATTTAATTAACATAGTAATAATCATTAAATTCATTTATAATATAACAGAAACTTTCTTTACAAATCCCGTTGTAGCCCTACCATAAATTAGACGAGTGAAAGCACGGTCATATCGCATGGACATGAAATGTACTACTAATCGATATTTTTTGTACTTTCAAATTCCTGATCAAGATAAGTAATGTAGTTATCTAAATATGAGATTTAAATCAAACAATGTTGAATGAGATTTAAAAAGCGAAAGTGAGAAAGATGCGCGATAAATGTAGAGACTGTGGAAGGTAACATATTATAATTTTACTTTTCTGTAGACTACACAGAAATTGTGTGTTTTAAAAAGTAATAACAATAGCTATGAAAATAGATACACAACAATACTCTAATATAATTTTAAATTTGTTTTGTTATTTGATTTATAAACTTCAGTAAAGGAAAAGAGCTTGCAGTCTCTTAGCTACAAAGAGCAGTAAATATTGAGTCAGCCCTTAAGCCTAGTTCGCATTAAGCCAGTATTTTAGTCTAGTAGCGAGTAACCCCACCACGCGTCCGAGCTCACTGGACCTGTCGAATTAGTCGAGTTCATTAGTTGTCGCCATAGTGGCAAGAAAGTATAGAACTCCTTGTAATTTTGTAATTGCAGGAATCGCACTTCTTAACAGAGTATCTTTACGCTGAATTTGAGAGTGTATTTTCATTAACAGAAAATTTACACAACTTTCGGACATTCTTAAACTATCGAAGTATTCTTTGGGATCTTCCAATGCTAATTCCTTCAGAAGACAATTAGTAGCTCCTAGTTTATCTCGTCTTTCGATCCATTTTCGTACCCATAGCTTCTTTTTATTAATTACTTTATTGCGTTGTAGGCTGTTCATCTTGCAAAACACCACTCACTTGTAAACTGTACTCGACCAAAGTGCGAACGATTTTTGGTGAGTAGCGAGTAATTTAGCTACTAAATTACTCGCTACTAGACTAAAATACTAGCTTAATGCGAACTAGGCTTTAGGGTGTGTAGAGATCTAAAAGAAATATTACTTGTACATATTTATTACTACACATATTGATGAAATTGAGATATCTAAAGCTGTTGAAAATACAAGTCTAATTTAAAAAATTACAACATTTATGTAGACATGTTTCTGAATCTACCTATAAACCTGTACAATTTATTTCACCGCATGTACTGTAGGCGTTTAACCATCTACGCCTGCCGAGCTATGAGTATGGGAATACGTACGTACTCTTAACTCTAACGTATCATAAATCCGATCGTAATAACATGTCAGAAGATAATAGCATTTATAATTTTCACCTCCGCCATATTATTATGTATGAGGCTACAGGCCAAATGCCAATGCCACCTAATTTTGAGCCAAGAGTAATTACCAATTTTC